TTTATTTATTAGAGAGAGAGAATGAGAGAGAGAGAGAGCATGAGAGGGGGGAGGGTCAGAGGGAGAAGCAGACTCCCTGCCAAGCAGGGAGCCCAATGTAGGACTCGATCTGGGGACTCCAGGATCATGACCTGAGACGAAGGCATTCGCTTAACCAACTGAGCCACCCAGGCGCCCCTAAGTCATAGGCTCTTTATACTGAATGGCAGGAAAACACGACTGAGAAATTTGTCACTTGTGATGGAGAACAAGCATAGTCTCATTTAATCTTACCAGACATCTTCCCTTTAGTATGATTAGATAGTGAATATATTCTTTGTTTGGCTCCCCAGGTTGTAAATATTTTGTATCTTTAACATCTTATCAGCGCACATGATTTGTAACATATAACCTAAATGAAACAAAATACTTGTAGGTCAGTGATTTGTTTCAGTTTCTCTTTACTTAAAGTTGATTCCTTAAAAGGAAACCCATGTTTCTGATTTCATATATTTCTTTCACAGAGAGAGCTTGTGTTAATGTTTGTAGAACAGCTCAACAGCTTGGTATATGTATATTTCATTTACGTAATGGGGAATATACTAAACATATGTCCCTAACTTGGCATCTTTCACTTAGTGCAAGATCCTTCCATATCAGGACATATGGATCTATTGAGGAAGTTATTTTTAAACCTAGAGGTAGATTTTTAATGTGTTTAAAGATTTTGTTTATTTATTTGTCAGAGAGAGAGAGAGAGCAAGAGCACAAGAAGGGGGAACGGCAGGCAGAGGGAGAAGCAGGCTCCCCGCTTGAGCAAGGAGCCTGATGTGGGGCTCCATCCCAGGACCCTGGGATCATGACCTGAACTGAAGGCAGACGCTTCACCAACTGAGCCACCCAGGCATCCCTAGATTTTTAATGTTAATGAATTGTTTTGTACTCTCCATGGCCTGTGGCCCTACTGTCTTTTCCTGTTCGGTTTCCCAGGGAGGGGGCTGGAGTGGTGGAATGCTAAATCATCACACCAAGGCTGAGATCCCCTCACACAATCTCACGCTGTGACACTTCTCAATGGCACTCCCTAGCACATGGGAACAGCTCCTGGTGTCAGTACTAACTTTTGCTCCTCCTTCTCTAGTTCCCCTCATCCCCCCAGATCATCCGTGGATGCAGATGGCTGAAAAACCAGGTGCCTTCTCAGGCTAATGGAAGGGGGCTGTGGTATTTCTTCTCCCTCACATCCTGACTGCCAATATCTGCCATGTTTTATTCCCATTCTAGGGGAAGCCATATGTCTTTGACCGTGTGTTCCCCCCAAACACGACTCAGGAGCAAGTTTATCATGCGTGTGCCATGCAGATTGTCAAAGGTAATCTGTATTATCTTTGTAAGATGTATTTTTAGAATGTATGTTTTCAGGTTCCCCATTCCTTATCCCACTTCTTTCCACCAGTGCTCTTTCTCTGCTGTCTCTTCCAGATGTCCTTGCTGGCTACAATGGCACCATTTTTGCTTATGGACAGACATCCTCAGGGAAAACACATACCATGGAGGTGAGGGTTCTGACTTCCATGAGGGGTGAGAAGCTGGGAGTGTAAATGAGAGGCCAAGGAATCTCAGTGGGGCAAGATCTAAGAATCAAGCTTGCTTGGTCTGGAGGATGAACCGAGGGGCAGGAGTGTAGTAGAACTTTAGTGAAATCCCTCCAGCCTGCTACAGTTTTCTATCCTTTCCACTACTCCAGTTTTCTTCTTTTGATCCGGAAAAGCAGCTGCATTAATAGTCCAAAAGGCCACTCAATTCTCTCATCGTTCCAGTAAGAGATAGACATGGCAGTGACTGCCTCCAACCTCAAGATGGTCTTCTTATCCACTATGACCTTTGTGTTCACCTGCATACCTCTTGAGTTGTCTCATTCTTTCTGAGTCCCAGCCTCATTCTGGAATATGTTTCCTCCCCAGGGAAAGCTGCATGACCCCCAGCTGATGGGAATCATTCCTCGAATTGCCCGAGACATCTTCAACCACATCTACTCCATGGATGAGAACCTTGAGTTCCACATCAAGGTGATCACGGCATGACAGCTGGGCATCCTCAGATGGGGCCTGGGAGGGGAAGAGCTAGTATGAGCCCACTGAGGACCTGGGCACCCCAACTTATTTTCCTGCTCTGGTTACCACAGTTCTTCTCTGCCAAGATATTCTCTTCTGCTCTTTCTCTCCTACTACTACCATTTGAGCAGGTCACATTCACTTGAGATCCCTGGGTCAGATTTAAGACAGGCCCTCTTCACTTTCTCCCTGACCAGGTTTCTTACTTTGAGATTTACTTGGACAAAATTCGTGACCTTCTGGATGGTGAGTGATGTTTAACCCCATTGGGCAGTGGGGGTGTGAGGAGGGCAAGGAAAAGAAAGCTCACATTGCTTTTGGCAAGAGATGCAGAGGACACACACACTCATACCCATGTCCCTTGCCGCCATTCACCAAAATTCCCAAAAGCGAAAAGGGTCAGAAGATGAGCTTCAAGATCCAGGCCTATATAGTAACAGCCTGAGGCCAGTTGGAACCTTGAGGCTAGAATCCTGGAGGAGGAGAAACTGGCTTTCAGTGTGTGCTGGAAGTTTAAGCTTCATGGGGAAGTCTTTCTCCTTTTTCATTTTTAAGAAAATTTTTTCAATTTATGTATTTACTTGAGAGAGAGAACGCATGAATGGTGGTGGTGGGGGGTGGGAGGAGCAGGGGGTGAGGGAGAAGCAGACTCTGCACTGAGTGCCGAGCCCGACGCGGGGCTCAATTTCACGACTGTGAGATCATGTCCTGAGGCGGACTCTTAACTGACTGGGCCACCCAGGTGCCCCTCTCCTTTTTTCACATAGAAGAGACTACTGTCTCAGTGGGCTACAGGATGCGAGTTGGGGGTGGAGGTACTAGCCTTGCTTACCCTGCATTGTCTTGATTCAGTGACCAAGACAAATCTGTCTGTGCATGAGGACAAGAATCGGGTGCCATTTGTCAAGGTGAGAGTGGGGACGGGGCACCTGGGTGGGGGTCACCTCATTGAGATTTGAGGTGTGGCAGGAGGGAAGACCAGAGACCCAGAAATTGGAAGGCAGATGTCTTGGAGGAATGAGATGTGCCAAGGGGCCGGGGAGAGTCTGAGGGCTTGGATAGACAGTTTTGAAAAGTTGTCTGGTCAGCGTGCAGGTAATAAAATCTGCAGATCGACATTTATGGGTCACTGTCCATTCGCCCCCTGCAGGGTTGTACCGAACGCTTTGTGTCCAGCCCAGAGGAGATTTTAGATGTGATTGACGAGGGGAAATCAAATCGTCATGTGGCTGTCACCAGTGAGTGGGGATCTAAGGGGCTCTTGAGTCTGGGAGTCTGCTGCTTGTCTGCGTCCTCTGGGGCTGAGGGACTGGAAGTGAGCAAGGGCAGACTGTGTCCTCCAGAAGAAGAGGCTCCTCTCGGGTGTGCGACCCAGCTGCCTGGGAGACGCAGTGTCGGGGCTAGTCCTGGCAGGTGCCCTTTCTCCCCGGGTCCCCCAGCGGTCAGTGGAGGCTGGGGGCTGAGGGCCTCGGCTCCGTAGGTGTCAGTATAGGGACCGCCTTTCCCTTTGTCCTGCAGACATGAACGAACACAGCTCTCGAAGCCACAGCATCTTCCTCATCAACATCAAGCAGGAGAACATGGAGACCGAGCAGAAGCTCAGTGGGAAGCTGTATCTAGTGGACCTGGCAGGGAGCGAGAAGGTTGGGCACCTGGGGGTGGGGTGGGTAGGGAAGGAGGTCTGGGGGGGTCTTTTTTAAATCAAAATAACTCTTTGATTGAGATATAATTCACATACCACAAAGTTCACCGTTTTGAAAGATACAGTTCCATGGGTTTTAGGATACTTAGAAGGTTGTGCACCCATCACTACTAATTCTAGAACATTTTCATCACCTGTTAGCAGTCACTCCCTATTTCCCCCTCCCCTAGCCCCTGGCAACCACTAATCTACTTTTTGTCTCTGTGGATTTGCCTTTTCTGGACATTTCATATAAATGGGATAGTATAATATGGGGGCGGGAGGGGGTGGCTTTTGTCAAGAGGACTTAGGGTAACAGAGGAAGGGCCTTGTCTGTTCTCTTCCCCGGTCCCCTCCCCTCCTTGGACTGAATCCCCCTGAGTAGAGAAGAGGCCATGAGAGCCCTCTTTCCCCCTGCAGCTCTCATGACACACTCACTCATCCCTTAATGCTCTGGTAGGTCAGCAAGACCGGAGCAGAGGGAGCCGTGCTGGATGAGGCAAAGAATATCAACAAGTCACTGTCAGCCCTTGGGAATGTGATCTCTGCACTGGCTGAGGGCACAGTGAGTGTCCCTTAGACCCCGTCCCATCATGCCCGATGCATGGGGTGCGCGACCCCTAGTCAGCACCACTCTCCTTTCTGATTCCCTTGTTGAATATTTTTCTGATTTGTGGTCTCCCTCCTCCCCCAGAAAAGCTACGTTCCATATCGTGACAGCAAAATGACACGGATTCTCCAGGACTCTCTGGGAGGAAACTGCCGGACAACTATGTTCATCTGCTGCTCACCATCCAGCTACAACGACGCAGAGACCAAGTCCACCCTGATGTTCGGGCAGCGGTCAGTGGCAGGGTCCCTACTCCTGGGCCAGCCCCTGTTGCTCTCTCCCCTCCGTGTCACGCAAGCCTTCATGGAGGTCCCATCTCCTTGTTCTCCTCACCAGGGCAAAGACCATAAAGAACACTGCCTCAGTGAATCTGGAGTTGACTGCTGAGCAGTGGAAGAAGAAATATGAGAAGGAGAAGGAGAAGACAAAGGCTCAGAAGGAGACGATCACCAAGCTAGAGGCTGAGCTCAGCCGGTGGCGCAATGGTTAGAGAGGGTTCCACTGGGTGTGAGAGGCGGCTGGAGGAGGAGGCTGAGGGGACCAGTGGGGCCCTGTCTGGGGCAGGGCTTCAGGGCAGGCCAACCTCCCAGGAGGGCTGCGTTTCTGGAGGGGTGCAGTCGAGTGGTGTGAGGGAAGTGGAGAGGGGGCTGACCGCCCTTATCCCATCCCCCAGAAAAGGTTGAACATGCACTTGGCAACAGAGATGGAGACCTGCCCGGAGGTCTTGGCGTTGAGGAGTGAGGGAGGAAGGACTCCTGGATGCAGCTCTCTCTTCTCCCATCCCTCACCTTGTTCTGCCTCTTGGCCAGGAGAGAATGTGCCTGAGACGGAGCGCCTGGCTGGGGACGATGCAGCCCTGGGAGCTGAGCTCTGTGAGGAGACCCCTGTGAATGACAACTCATCCATTGTGGTGCGCATCGCACCTGAGGAGCGGCAGAAATACGAGGAGGAGATCCGCCGCCTCTATAAGCAGCTCGATGACAAGGTGAGGACACCCAGGGCACAGAGGGGAGGCCGGTGGTATGAGAAGTGAGGGATTAAGGAATTCGCTTGTACTGCCTTTTTTTTAATTTTAAAAGGGACAAATGCTCATTATTGAACATGTGGAAGATAGCACTGAATAACATTTAGAATTGTTGGATCACAATATCATACACCTGAAACTAGTAAAACACTATGTTAACTCTACTGGAATTGAAATTAAACTTAATAAAAAATATATCATTAAGAAATTTAGAAGATAAATAAGAACATATTGAAGAAAATGTAAGTCATCCATCATCCCACCATTCATAAATACTACTATTAACATCCTGCTTTTCTCCATACATAGAACATGCAGTTGAGATACACTGTATACGTAATTTTGCATCTGATTTCTTTATTCTGCATTGCATAAGGGGCAGTTTCCTACTTTGTTAACAATTCCTTACAAAAGTATTTTTTAAATGGCTGCCTAACAGTCCATTTGTCAAAATGTATTGAACCATTTGTTTGTTACTTCTAGTCTTCTAGGGCTTCTAGTCTTCTTTGTTTTTAGTAGCTTGTTCTTGCTCTTGTAAGTAATTCTGAAAGCACTGTCTTTGCCTCTGAGGCCCAAGACTTTGCTTTTGAAAGATTTGATTAGAATGGAGCACTAAAGTGGGATTTCTAGGTTAGAGGACATGCACTTTAACCTAAAGGCTTTTGCTGTGTATTGTCAAGGTTATACCACCTTCCAGGGAGAAAGGAATTTGAAAGTGAGGGCAGGAGTGAGGCAAGAGACTGAGGGCAAAGCTTCTTTTTAGGATATGGGGTTTCTAACTCAAAGCCTGAACTGTCTGGATTTTTGTCAGGATCTTACCTCTGCCCCCACCCCCATAAGTCCAGACTGGATGGAGCTTCCCTTCATTCCATCCTTCCCTCTTGCCTCCAACAGGACGATGAGATCAACCAGCAGAGCCAGCTCATAGAGAAGCTTAAGCAGCAGATGCTGGACCAGGAAGAGGTAATGGGAAGGAGGACAAGACATGAGAGGAGAGCGGTGTGTTCCCTAAAAGGCATAAAAGACCTTTTACAACCAGATAGAAGAAGGGCTTAGTCTTCTGCGTCGGGCTTGGTCACCCCCCCAAAACTATCGAAGTCTGGGGACTTAACTGGGGCTTTGTGTAAAACACAGATTTGGAGTCTGGGTGCTTCTTCCTTCTGTGAAACCTACAGCCCACTTCCTCTTGACTCTTGCTTTGACCCTTGCCCCTCTCCTGGAGCTCTGCCCTCCAGGCTTAGGGTGCCAGAGAGGCCCCATCTGGGGCAGTGTTCTCGGCTTCCCCAGACCAGGGGGCCATAGAGGCGGTCACTGGCAGCAGACCCCCTCACGTGCCTTGCCTCTTCCTCCAAGCTGCTGGTATCCACGCGAGGAGACAACGAGAAGGTCCAGCGGGAGCTGAGCCACCTGCAGTCAGAGAACGATGCTGCTAAGGAGGAGGTGAAGGAGGTGCTGCAGGCCTTGGAGGAGCTGGCCGTGAACTACGACCAGAAGTCCCAGGAAGTGGAAGAGAAGAGCCAGCAGAACCAGCTTCTGGTGGATGAGCTGTCTCAGAAGGTGGTGAGTGGCTGACCGGGGTTCAGGAACCCCCTGGCCTCCAGAACATCCTCCACGTCCCAAGGGACGTCTGTGCCCGGGGGGCCGCATCACACTCGTACCTTTGCCCTGCTGTGCAGTGTGCCAGGGGACCCTCTCCCGCCCTGTCATCACCCTTCGCCCTCCTGACCCCTGTCTCTCCCAGACCCTTGGGCAGGGCCTGTGTTCTCTCTGTAGCAGCCCTCGGGGTCATATATAAGGCAGAGGCTCTGCGCGGGCTAGGGAGGGGGGGTGGGCAGATGGCAGCGGGATGACGTGAGGGGCTGTCCCCAGGCCACCATGCTGGCTCTGGAGTCTGAGTTGCAGCGGCTACAAGAGGTCAGTGGACACCAGCGGAAGCGAATTGCGGAGGTGCTGAATGGGCTGATGAAGGACCTGAGTGAGTTCAGTGTCATCGTGGGCAACGGGGAGATTAAGCTGGTGAGTGGGGCTGGGGGCAGCAGGTCATTCTTGCTCTGGGCACTGGTGGGAGAGGCAGGGGGGCACCACCCAGGCCCTCACGGATACTGAGGAAGGTGGGCCAAAGAGCCAGGAAATATGCCTTTAAACTAGACCCGGGAAAACAAGTAGAATTTGCATAGCCTCAGCTGTAAATACACCTTCTAGAGGGTACCGAATAAGAGGCCATGGAGATGTGCATGTAGCTGGCATTAGAGGTGAGGCACAGAGCTGGGAACGAGATACACAAATCCGTAGCGGAGACCATTGCGCTGATCAAGCAGATCAGTGTGACTCCAAATCACATTGCCTTATAAGATGGAAGAGGGCAACTGTCGGAATTGGATCTTTAAGTGCAGGGAGAAGGATTTAGTGTGAAATGCCAGGTGATAGCAGCTAAAAGTTATTTGGAAGATACGTGTGCCACCCAAGTCTGTGTGTGTGCGGGTGTAAGTGGGGATGGGCAGAATGCACGGGAATGGGAAAGCTTCCCTGCAGCCGAGAAGCACCTCTTCCTGCCCTCTCCCACCCGCAGCCAGTGGAGATCAGCGGGGCCATCGAGGAGGAGTTCACGGTGGCCCGACTCTATATCAGCAAAATCAAGTCGGAAGTCAAGTCTGTGGTCAAGCGCTGCCGGCAGCTAGAGAACCTGCAGGTTGAGTGTCATCGCAAGATGGAGGTGACGGGGCGGGAGCTCTCATCCTGCCAGCTGCTCATCTCCCAGGTGAGCGCCGGGCCCTGAGAGTCTTGGCGTGCCATGGGAAGGAGGACGATTCTGCGGCTATGGGATAAGACTCCCGGCACCTGCCGTCATGTCAAGGGCCTAGGGTCAACCACAGTCCAGGACAGAAGAGCCTGGGCTAGCTGGGGAGGGTCCAGGCCAGGGAAGCGAAGGTTCAGAGGGGATACCACCCTCGGAGCTGATGGGGTCTAAAGGAAGGGTCTTCAAAGAAATGGCCTCTGGCCCTGTGTCTTCAGGCCGGCGCAGCAGATGGGGAGGGCCTGGGAGGAAACCTGCAGAGGTCAGTGTTGCCCAGCTGTGTCCTTGACTCCATCCCTCTTCTTCCACTCACTAACCCTTCCCCCATTAGCATGAGGCCAAGATCCGCTCGCTTACAGAATATATGCAGAGTGTGGAACTAAAGAAGCGGCACCTGGAAGAGTCCTATGACTCCCTGAGCGATGAGCTGGCCAAGCTGCAAGCCCAGGGTGAGGCCTTTTTCAACCTCTAAACCACACGACCTGGGATCTGAGATCCTGGAGGGGGGCGGGGAGGAAAAGCCACAAACGTCAAATAGACCTTCTAACAGCACGCTCCTCCCATGCATTAGACTGAGATCGTGGAAGCTTTGGCCTGTAGCTTATTGTACACAAGCCATGAACCCTCCATGGATCTCTTTCCCTGTCATATCAAATCGCACTGTCCTAACCCAGAAGAATATTCCTGAGGGCCCACACTGGGTCCATGTCCCCTGCCCTACTTGCAGCTCTGGTCAAAAAGTGAAGTTCTTTCTGGAGGAGGTAGGTGCGACGTAAGCCACGCTCCCCTCCCTCTTTCCCTCAGAAACTGTGCACGAAGTGGCCCTGAAGGACAAGGAGCCAGACACACAGGATGCGGATGACGTAAAGGCGAGTGGGGAAGGGGCGGGGCACAGCAAGGGCATAGCCGGGGCCCAGCACGGCTGCACCGGCCCTCTCCCAGCTGGTGTCTGGGAGTCTGGCTTTGAGTGTGGGGTGGGGCTGTTCGCAGAAGGCCGTGGAGGTGCAGATGGAGAGTCACAGGGAGGCCCATCACCGGCAGCTGGCCCGGCTCCGGGATGAGATCAACGAGAAGCAGAAGACCATCGATGAGCTCAAAGAGTAAGAGTCCCCCTGGGTGGCTCCTGCCTCCACGGCTCCCTCTTGGCCCGGGGTCTGGTTTGTTCACTTCCACAGGCCACTCCCCCTGACCATGCCACAGCTTTGTAGCCCAGCTCCAGGAGGCACGGGAGTGAGGACTAGTTCTTCTCCTTGAGCTCTTATGATTGGGTAGCCCATGGCTTCTCACTCTGTCGTGGAAACCGTGGCCTGCGTCTGCCTCCAATAATTCGAAAGTAGATGCATCCATCAGTCCTGACCAGACCCACTTGTACCAGAAGGAGAATGTTTGCAGGGCTGGTCTTCCCTTTCCCCCCTCATTAATAACCTTTTTGTTCTCTCCAACACCTCCTCGCCCTCTGCAGCCTGAATCAGAAGCTGCAGTTAGAGCTAGAGAAGCTTCAGGCTGATTACGAGAAGCTGAAGAACGAAGAACACGAAAAGAGCAGCAAACTCCAGGAGCTGACGTGAGTGATGGCCCAGACCGCTACTCACGCACACCCGCAAAGGCAGGGAACTGTGCAGGTGGGAAAAGGGTGGCCGCAGGAAGCAGATGCCTCAGACGAGTCATAGGATGCGGTGGGGAAGGGCCAAAGAAAAAGGAGAGACAGAGACGTTCAGAAATAACCTCTAGTGAATATTAGCTGCCCTGGCCTGGAAAGATGTCTGTGATGTTCTGTTAAGGGTGAAAAGCAGGCTACAAAACAGTATGAATGGTATGATCCCATACAATTTTTGTGGGATATCCCTGCATAGAAGTAAGAGTCTGGGAAGACTGACACCAGAATGTTATGTTGGTTCGATCTGTCAGCAGTAGAATTATGGGCTTTTTATGAAACTCATCTTACTTTTTTTTTCTTTTCTAATTTCTGCATAGCAAACATGAGAAACTTGTATAATAAGTAATAATAAAGTCTAGATCAAAGGAATGGAGAGGGAGGAGAGAGGGAGGAAGGACAGTCCTGAGGGACTCTTGTGTTTCCTTCTCGCCCCAGATTTCTGTACGAGCGACATGAACAGTCCAAGCAGGACCTCAAGGGTCTGGAGGAGACAGTTGTGAGTGGTTTCCCTCTGTGCCAAGTTAACAGGGTGAGGTGGGGGCTTCATGTCTTCCCCTGACTTCTCCATAAGCCCATTCCTTATACAGTGTCAGTCTGTGGCATAATCAGAACACATCTTTTCCTAAAGGATGAGTGATTCACCTGCCCAGATAGACTGACGCTTCCTATAATTTTGGAGCGAAAATACTGACCTGGTATTTGGCTACCCACAATGTGTCATCATTCTTTCCAGGCCCGGGAACTCCAGACCCTCCACAACCTTCGCAAGCTGTTCGTTCAAGACGTCACGACTCGAGTCAAGAAAGTGAGTGCCATCCTTGGAATCTTCCCAGCCCCCGTACTGCCCCCTGCCCGCAGGTTTCTCTAACCCCTGTGGCCTCCAGTGGAGATGGCTTGGCCTGGTGTGGGTGAGACCTTTTTGGCCTGGGACAGCCACATCTTTCCCCCCCGTCTTTCATCAGAGTGCAGAAATGGAGCCCGAGGACAGTGGGGGGATTCACTCCCAAAAGCAGAAGATTTCCTTTCTTGAGAACAACCTGGAACAGCTTACAAAAGTTCACAAACAGGTAAGAGTAGGGGAAAGGGTGAAAAGAACTCTTGAGGCTAGGTGCCTAGGAGTACCAAATCCTCCGAGGTCCCTTGGATTTAGGAAATCTGCTTTTGCATGTTTTCCTTACTTTTCCCTTTACTTTTCCTATGAATCCCTTCTTTATCCATGTTTGGTTCCACTTTTACCCTGTTCTTTGTTCCATGCCTGTTCTCCCTTCTCAAAGCTCCCAACTGCCTCTGCTCAAAGTGAAATCCCCCAGGCCTATGGATTTGGAGGGAGAGGTTGAAACTGGTAGAGGTTTCAGAGGCATGGGGCTGTTAACTACACAGGAGGGATACTGGTCAGAGGCAAGGAGAAGCCAGGGAAGTTGGGCTTCCTCTCACTGAGAGAACTCCATCTGCGTAGGCCTGGGGCAGGCATGCAGGGTAATTAAAGGATGTCCTCCAGATGGCGCAACCAGCCCCTGGGTGGGCCTGGTTGAAACTCCTGTGTATTAAGTTGCTGCCTCTCTGTCCCCCTCCTTGCTGCTGCGGCTCCTTAGGTGGATGACTGGGTTTCAAAGGTATGGGGTGGGGAGCTAGAAGGGGCAGTCCAAAGGAGTCAGGACAGGAAATGTTTGGTGTGTACAGAGTAGGAGCACCCTCTCTAGCGCCAAATATCTGAGCCTTGAAGACATGCCACAGTGTGTCAACTGGCTCTTTTAACTGATTCGTGCAGTAAACCCTAATCTATACTTTATTCCCTTTCTTTCAAACCCACCTGAACATTTGATCTAGACTCATATTCTCACTAAACCGGAGCTTAAATTTCTCAGTGCAATGCCCAGCATATTTAGCAAATACTTGGCACATCTTTTTTTTTTTTTTTTTTTAACATATATAATTAAAAAAAAATCCCAGGACTGTGGCCCAATGATAAGCTGCAGGGTATATTTATTTTATTTGGGCCCGCAAAGGGCTGTACTATCATCTTTCCCCCTTTGCTTATTATACAGCAGTATAACAATGTAACAACATTCCGGAAAAGTTGAAAGTGCAGGGAAGAAACATTTGTAATCAGTTCTGCCATCCTATGTTCCTTTCTCTGTGTTCACTTTCCTTCTCTGTCCAAATGCATGGCGTATTGCTTGTTTTTTCCCAATATTTTTATTGTGGTAAAATACACATAAAATTTGCCACCAGAACAGTCTTTAAGTTCAGTGGTATTAAATGCATTCATACGGTTGTGCAACACCCCCACTGTCCTTCCCCATCCCTGTCATCTTGTAAAACCGCACCTCTACACCCACTTCCCAGTAACTCCGTTCCCCTCCCTCCCAGCCCCTGGCAACCACCATTCTTCTTTCGTCCTCTATGATTTTGACTCCTCGAAGTACTTCCTATAAGTGGAATCCTGCAGAATTTGTCCTTTTGTGGCTGGCTTATTACACTCAGCATCATGCCCTCCAGGCTTATCCACAGTGTTGGATGTGTCGGGAAACCACAGGCTGTTTCCTTTTTCCTCACCGAAGCCGCTGCCTCTCTCTGCTCAAAGTCCCAAAGACCAAAAACAACTCACCTAGATGACGGAGGCCTCCTCACAATGTCCCACCTCAGCAGACACAAGACTAGAAAGGGAAATGAGAGAGATGTAGAAACTTCTCAATTCACAGATTCTTAAATAGCCAGGCCTTCAGCCCTAGTCTCAATTAAGCTGAACTCTTGTCACAGCCAACCATTGTTTATAATCTTTAAATTGTCCAAAGTGGAAGGGGCACAGATGTATTTCCAAGCTCTGCCCTTTCTCCCCGGGTTCCCTGCTCTACCAGCTTACCTGGTATCTTCCAAGGCCGGCTCCTGCAGGCTGGAGCCACCCCGCCCCCGTTATTGTACGCAATCCTATAAAAAGATCAGGAAGTCTTCTCTGGCTGCAAGGTGGTTGCTACCACTCTCTACCTTAAATTAAATGGGGGAGGGACAGCCCAGGAAGTCCTTGAATGTGAAGGTAATGAGCACAAATGTTTGTGAACCCTCAAACATTTTCTTTCCTTCCTATGGGGTGCTGTGTGAATGTGTGCGGGTGGGGGGTGAGGGGGGGCTCCCATGTTTCAGCTTCTGCTCTTGCTCTCCACTGCACCTAACCTGCCCTCAAAACCATATCCACCTTCCAGACTGCCACTGCGCTCTTGCTGTCCCGCCCTGTGCATGCCTACAAAGCCATCTCTGGGTGAGGGGTGCCTCATCCCCACGGTTGCCCTGGGGCTGTTGGTCTGGCACAAGCTGTGAGGTATTGGGGGGTGGGTATCGAGGCCAGGAAAAGACTGGGACAGGGCACTGTCCCAAGAGTTCTGGGCTACGGTGGACCTGGCACGTTTTGCTACTCAGAAAACGATGTGACTTTTTCATGCCTGACCACTGTTTGCTCCAGGAGAAGGAAAAAACAGGCCAGAAGAGCAGTTAGGTAAAGGGAACGAGGCCTTTCGAGGAAAGAGTGCTGTCTCCGTCTACGCTGACTTGATTTTTCTTTATTCTCTCTCCCTGCCCCGCACCCCCACACGCCACCGCTCCACCGCTGGCTCTCTCTTGGGTCTCCGGCTTTGCCTTGGCCTCTTCCCTCGGGCTTACCCCACAGCTGGTACGTGACAATGCAGATCTGCGTTGTGAGCTTCCTAAATTGGAAAAACGACTTAGGGCTACGGCTGAGAGAGTTAAGGCCCTGGAGGGTGCACTGAAGGAGGCCAAGGAAGGAGCCATGAAGGACAAGCGCCGGTACCAGCAGGAGGTGGACCGCATCAAGGAGGCCGTTCGGTACAAGACCTCTGGCAAGCGGGGCCATTCTGCTCAGATTGGTGAGTGGTTCTGGGTGGCAGCAGACGAGGTGGGATTACCTCCGGGGGAGATCAGCACGTTCCGAAGTGTCAAGCAACTAGATGATTGCTTTTTCTCCTACCTCCACCCCAGGATCACCCCACTGCCATCCCCCCAAAACGTATAAAAGTGAGTGATGTTATGAGCAGCTCGGTTCAGCTCCAGCTCTGTGACTTCCAGGACCGGGGCAACTGCAGGGAAACGGCCTCCTCACGGTCATTTTCCTTGCTTTACCACAGCCAAACCCGTCCGGCCCGGCCACTACCCAGCATCTTCACCCACCAACCCCTATGGCACCCGGAGCCCTGAGTGCATCAGTTACACCAACAACCTCTTCCAGAACTATCAGAACTTGTACCTGCAGGCTGCGCCCAGCTCCACGTCAGACATGTAGTGAGTGGCCCCGGGTGTGGGCTGGGGTCCCAACCCAAGGCTCCCTGCTCTCTATAAGGCATAGGTTGGGTCAGCTGCTTAATTCCTTTCCTAAGTAGCTTCATCTCAAACCCTTTCTCAACTTCACACCTACGGTTAGAAGGTGGGCACTGCCCTCTCAGCCTGTGGCCCCGTTTGTTGTCCTCTGTTCTCTGGGGACGGGAGGGGTGTACGGCTCCATTCCCACTGGGATTATGGGTCCTCAGCATATTGGAGGGCGGGTGCCAGAGGCGGCATCTCTCTTCTCTGCTCCATCCAGCTTTGCAAACTCCTGTACCAGCAGCGGGGCCACATCTTCCAGTGGGCCCCTGGCATCCTACCAGAAGGCCAACATGGACAATGGTGAGTGAAAAAGATGGGTGACCAGCCTTTGGGATCCCCAGGGCAAGTTGAAAAGTAGAAGAAAAGTAAGTGACCCTGTGCCTACAGCTTGAACGCTGCCCATCCCTTCAGGATCTTGGAGTCTTAGAAGTGGATTCCTCCTATTGCCGTGCTTGTCCCCACCCTCCCCTGCCTTCCCCTTTCTCCTTTCCTTTAGAAGGGGTCAGGGAGAACTTTCTCACACAAAATGATCAGGCAGTTTGGGGGAGTTGCAAATACAGAGCCACAGACCCAGGTGGCAGCTATACTCCAAAGTCTTACCTTTTTCTCTAAGGGGTCAGGATGAGAGAGGGTTTGGGGAGATGGCTTCTAACACCCCGTCTCCTTTTTCCTTCTCCTAATCCTGTGTTCTCAATGATGATGTCTTCAGGAAATGCCACAGATATCAATGACAACAGGTACACCCATCCCCATTGCTCTTGAGTTCTCTGGGTGGGACCAGAAGAAATGGTTAAATTTCCCTCGTGCCCTACTTAGAGGTTCTCTGGAGCCTGCAGGGAAAGGAGGAGGAAATGAGAACCATTCTCGTCATCACCGGGTCATCCCAAGGATCCACTCATCCCCTGCCTCTTGGTACAGAGAGCACATCCCCTCCTCCAATCCCACCTGTGGCTTCTCCCCACTCCGTCATGGGGGCTGTGGGAGTGCCATGGCCGTCTGATGACCTGGCTTTCTCTCCTTCCTTTGGGAACTCTGTGACCTTGGGCGAGTCAGCTCCATCTCTCCAGCCTTGGTTTTCCTTGTATTCCTCTAAATCCCGAATAGTCCCTGCCTTTTGTTGTCTCACAGGGATGCTATGAGAGCAAAGTGACAGGGATGTTTTCCTCTATTCGGAGCTGACAGTGCTGGGTCTGTTCTTCTAGGAGTGACCTGCCTTGCGGCTATGAGGCTGAGGACCAGACCAAGCTTTTCCCTCTCCACCAAGAGACGGCAGCCAGCTAATCTCCCTCACGGACTGCCGCATACCTGCACTTTCAGGTAGCTTCAGGCTGCTTCCTCTGACCAGCCTCCGGTTGCCTCCTGTCTGGCCCTCAGCCTCTTTGTTTCTCCTGCTTTTTTTCATCATCTCAAAACTTTTACTATATAGTCGTCCCTCAGCTCCTGCTTTCCCTGCCTGGGGGATACGTCCCTCCTGGCCCCCAGGCTCCGGACACTGACCTCCCCTCCCCCGCTGATGCTTTCCTTTTGGCCAAAGTAGTAACCACAGTACTGCTTTTCAGCCACTAGGGGTCACTGCCACATGTCAAAAAGAGTGAGCAGGGGTGATGTCCGCCTAGAGCCACAACCCGCCCCCGGAATGTAGTCGATATTAGGAGACCTTGAGAAATCATCTCAACCCCCTGTCTGCCTCCACCCTAAAAGAATTTTGGATGGATAGGTATTTTCTGAACCAAGATACCTCCAGTAAAGGAGGTGTTGGCTTCATTCCTGTACCTGTGTCGCATACATCTCCGATCTGTGTAGGTCACCAATAAGCTTTAGGAAATGCCCCAGGAGGTCTGACTTGTTGTCTCTAATACTGCAGCGTCAGCACTCCCCTGCCACCTTGCTCAGTGGAGGTAGTAAAGAGCTGTGTTCCCCCTCTTAGCCCCCTCGTTCCACCTCTGTCCCCAGGTCCTCTCTTCCAGCAGCTCAGGCACCTTCCCAGCTTGTGTGTCACCAGGCTTCTCACTTGCTTTAGGGCCCAGAACTGGACACTAGGAGCCTGTCTTATCGTCCCCTTTGGATCTCTGGAGAACTAGAAATGAGAGGAATAGGGCCAGTCACTTGCCAGGCTGCGTCCATGCCAAGCCCTCTCTGGGGGCTTTCCGGGATAGTGGGCCAGGCACACACAGGCAACAGGGCATGAGGAGCAAAGAAGGAGGGATGGGGAAGAAAGAGGAAGACCTGGGGTAGAGGAGCAGGCCCTGGGGGAGTGGTGTCCGGTTGTTGGCATTAAAGGAACAAGACCGTAAGTCAAAGTTTGTACAAATACCACCCTGTTCCTGTTGAGTGGCTGGGCTGCAAGGTGGTTCCTCACAACCTCTTTCTCTTTCTTCCCCAGTTTCTAAGAGGGACTGAGGCCTCTCCTCTCAGCATGCTGCAAACCTGTGGTCTCTGATACTAACAACTCCCTCCCAACCCTCGTTGTTCAACTGTACTGTTTGATGTCTTCTCTTACTCTGTATCTCTTTGTACTCTGTATCTATATATCAAAAGCTGCTGCTATGTCTCTCTCCTCTCTGTCTTATTCTCTAAGTATCTAATGATGTATTTAGCAATTTCTAAGCATAGTATACTCACTCTCCTCATTTGGGGCAATAGGGAGGAGGGTGAGTGTTCCTTCTTTCAAACACGTTTCTCTCACACTGAGTGGTGTTAGTCATGGAGATGATAAAAGGAAAAATGGGAGCTAGAGGGCCGTAATCCTTCTCACACACACACACACACACACACACACACACACGCACACACACAAAGCCTTAAGCAGAAGAATGTCTTAGCGTCAGAAGAAGACACAGAAATAGACTCGCCCCTCCTTTTTCGCCAACAGCACAGGGGAGGGTAACCTGGAAGGACTGCTACCTGACACGTAGAATTTTCTTCATATACCCCTCAACTGAACCACCTTCCCTTTTTGTACCTTTTGCCTTCCTCTTCCTGTCCCCTGACCCCCTGCCCCAATGACCAAGGACATGGATTGTTCAAGGGACCATTTCCCTTTCTCCTCAAAACTCCTTTTGATATTCTCTGTCCCAGAACTCATGAACAGAACCTAGAGTTGCTTTAAAATATTTGGAAAACTTGAGGAGGCAGACCCTTCCCAACAGTCTGTCAGTGGCTGCTCATATGTCCGGTGATAGTTACAGGCACGTGTAGTCAGCGAATTGCTTCTTTGGGTTTGGGGGTGAACAGGCTGGGAAATTCCAAGTATTTTTTGCCACAGTGATGAGCTGGATTCCTTTCTCTGTCCCATATTGGGCTGCATGTTCTCATGTCCACCTTTTGGTTTGGGACCTTCCAGTTCATTAGCAAAATATCTCTCTCAAGATGCCTTCCTTTCAGGCTAGAGCCTGACTTTTCCCCATGATGCATAAAAAATTTTTTTTATTTGACAGAATTCCTTTGATAATGTCCCCATCTGGTTTTAAGTGCACTTTGAAGAAATGGGCAGAGCAGATTTTCCAGACTGGGGAGGGGGTGGTGAGGGGGGAGTTCTCTCCCCCCAACACTGCTCCATGTAATTGATAGGACTGTTACTTTGGTTTCAGACATCCTTTCCTTCCACATGGTGCTAAGGTGGTTTTCTAGGTAACTACAGGGATGGAGAGTGGAGGTCAAAATCAAGAAAGTCCAAATCAAGAAAGTCTGGTGTCCAGATACCCAGTCTTACATAGGATGGAAGAACAGGATCCCCCAGCAGCAGGGCAACCATCACCTAGCTTCTAAGGCAAGAAAGAAAGCTTGGGGGGAGTGCCAGCTTATAAATATAGGCTGTATTAGCCTGGGACTCCTTCAAGGGAAAAAGTTCCTTCTTCCTTTACCTGTTGGGCCCCTCTTAGCAATTATGGAAAAATGCAGGGAAAAATCTACCAGAAGGGTGTAGAGTAAATCCAAGGCAGCGATATTCAAACATTTTTAAAAATAAATCTTATATAGAACCCTGATATAAAAAATAACCCAAAGTGACGCAGACCTGGGCAGTTTACATTTTCTTTATTTGGTGGAAAATGCTTCCTTAGTGGAGGAGCTCTTGAATGGTCCTAAGAATTCAGAACCTGAGGGTTCTGTAGTTTGCAAACCACTCCTCTTAGGGAAAGGGGTTCAGCTTGGCTCCCCTGCCCCAAGCCCCTAACTCAGAGCAGAGAAGGAAAGGCCCAATGGGAGAAGAAGGAAGATGCCTGTGCACCTGTGGACTTGAGCTAATATTTGCCAAGAGGGCAGCTGAGAAGCCAGTGGGCTTTATGTAATCTTGCCACCAAATAATTCTTTTAAAACGCACAAGAAAACTTGAAGGTGTCGGGCAGATGAGGAGAGAGATGTAAGGGAAATCTAATTCACTTACATAAATAAGAATACGCACGCAAGGCCTTCACCAGAAGCTTCACTCTACGTCCCCCCCACCCCAGCATCCCTTTCCAGAGAGCCAGGGTCACCACAAGGGGCACCTGGCCTGCCCACTCCCATCTGCCAAAATGTTGCATGCCAGTGTGGAAGACAAACCAAGCCGCACAAACCCCAGTGTGTATTTACTTGATGTACATAGATACCTTGAAAATAAAATAAATTCAATGATGACTCCGCGGTGTTGTAAATCTTTATCCCTTCCTGGTCCCACTCCCTTAGTTGCATGTGATGGCATTTGACAGCGTGGTATATATTCTTCCAGATGTTTTTCTATATATTTACACACGTTTGTTTGTTTTCCCCACTTAAAAATATATTCTGGAGATCTTTTCATGTCATTATACATAGACTTACCTCATTAAAATAGGGGCGCCTGGGAGGCTCTGTTGATTAAGCATCCGATTCTTGATTTTGGCTCAGGTCATGATCTCAGGGTTGTGGGATTGAGCCTGTGTTGTGCTGCACTCAGCATGGAGTCTGCTTAAGAGAATCTCTCCCTCTGTGCCCCCGCCTCCCCGCTCGCATACTCTCTCACTCTCTCTAAAAATAAATGAGTCTTAAAAAAAAGAAGTACCTCATTAAAATATAGATACAATTTTTCATAAACTTATCCTATAATTTTTTCAACCATTCCACTACTGGAGGACATCAATTTAGGTTGTTTGTAGTTTTTAACAAAAAATGGTATCCCATTCTCTTCATTTTTTCCCCCAGACCATCACCTCAGTCCCAGTGTCAATTCTGTCCCTCTCCAGTGGGACTCCATTCCTCCTTTGCCAACAGCTTGGTTCTCTTGTCCCAAGATCATCTACCACATTCACCCTTCTAACCCCTATTTTATTTTATTTTGTAAGTAAGCAATCTGTATGCCCAATGTGGGGCATAAACTCACGACCTGGAGATCAAGAGGCACATGCTCTACCAACTGAGCCAGCCAAGCACCCTCTATCCCCATTTTATTTTATTTTTATTTTTATTTTTTTAAGATTTTTAAAAAATTTATTTATTTGACAGAGAGAGAGACACCGAGAGAGGGAACACAAGCAGGGGGAGTGGGAGAGGGAGAAGCAGGCTTCCCGCTGAGCAGAGAGCCTGATGCGGGGCTCGATCCCAGGACCCTGGGATCATGACCCGAGCCTCATGACCCGAGCCGAAGACAGACGCCCAACAACTGAGCCACTCAGGCGCCCCCCCATCCCCATTTTAGAGCATACCTCTATGTGTCCTCTCTGCTCATACCTTGGAGCTTCTGAGATGAATGGAGAAAAATGCATGACCGAAACACTGGGGCAACTGAAAGCCTAGGAAGCTAACTGGCCCTTTGGTGCTGCTCACGGCTCCTGTGTATCCCTACTGGTTTCCTCGCTTGCTTCCCAGAGCAGCTGGCCAACACTCCGTTCCCTTCTCACCTCCTCTGTTAGGCAAACAATTAAGGCAATTGATTGTGAAATTCTTCATCTGCCCTCTATCCCTACACACTTACCTATATCTGCACCGATCCTTTCCTTTCTTCCTCGAAACAAGTGATAAATCTCTCTTCTCTGGACTAAAGTAAGTCCCTTCTAGATCCTTCATTCTTGAGATACTTACATAGACCCAATATATAAAATATCTAAAAGTGTGGCAGACGGGCAGGTTATATCTTCTTTGTGATTTCTCCCCTTCTCCTTGTAAGGTCTCCCTGAAAAGTGTGTTACTTTTACTTTTTAAAGTAATCTCTATGCTCAACTTGGGGCCCAAACTCACAATCCTGAGATCAAGAGTCACATGCTCTACTGACTGAGCCAGCCAAGTGTGCCCTGAAAAGTGTGTGTTTTTACCGTGCTTCTCTGTAAGTGACTCCCCATCTTGTTTTCTTACAGCCAGATTTCCTGACAAAGTCCCAAGCTTCCCCTCCCCACTTCTTCATCTCCCATTCATTCCTCAGCCCACCTTGAACTGGCTCTTGTTCTGCTGAAACTGCTTTCTGAAGGTCACTGGTTGCCAAATACAATGGGCACTTCTCCATCCTTGTCTTGCTTCACCTCTCCATGACATGTGACACTGCTCTCCACTCCTTCTTTCTGGAAACTCCTTGGTCTGTGACCCTGCTCTCCTGGTTCCTTTTACCTCTCAGTCGTCTCCCACTAGCCTCTTAAATGCTGGTCTATACCAGGGTTCTTGCTTTCTCTGGAAGGTGCCCACTTCCCCAGATTCCATAACAATTACTCCATCTGTATCCCCAGCCCAGACTATTCTGGGCTCTGGGCTCATATGTTCAATTGCCCTCAGGTACCTCAAACACATTCCAAACTGAACTTTTCACCAAACTGCCTCTTTTCATGTCGCCACCACCATGTCTCCTCACCTTAGCCAGAAGCCTGGGATTCAATCTCAAGGTCTCCCTTTCCCTCAAGTCCCACATCCACTAAGAATTTTCCAAACTGACATCAAACTCTACCTTTAGATGTCATTCCCTTCTTTCCATCCCAACAGCCACTGTTTTAGTTCACCACCTCGTGCCTACACTTTCGGAATACTCGAGTCACCCCCCAGAATGATGCCTGAGTGGTTCTCGTAAAAGTCCATTTAATCCATCGAAACCACCTAAAGGATCTCCTACTTCGTAAAGAAATACTTTTGGGTGAGCCTCAGGCGAGAGGTTACTCCCAGAAACTGGGCAAAACCGGAAGGCAACGACTTTGCAGCAAAAGAGCCGCCGACCTGGGAGTGAACGAGGCCAGCCCAGGCCGCTTCCCCACCGCCTCGGTGGCAGGTCCGGGCCCGGCGGACCGCCGGCAGCCCGCAGGGAACGTGGCTTCCGTGCGCCCGCCCCTGCGCCAGGTGAGCCCACCCACCGCGCGGGCGTTGGGGTGGGCGGGCGCCAGGGGCGGAGCCAGCCCCGCACCGCCCTGCTGCGCGCCTGCGGGCCAGCCTCCGGTCACGTGACGGCGGCCCAGGTGAGCACCGCTTCCGGAGTCGGAAGCCTGCTTCGCCGCGGGCTCCGGCTTCCACTCCGTCGGGTGCACGGGAGAGGGAGACTATGGCGTCCTCCTCTGTCCCGCCGGCCACCGTACCGGCGGCGACAGCGGCCCCGGGCCCGGGTTTCGGCTTCGCTTCCAAAACCAAGAAGAAGCATTTCGTGCAGCAGAAGGTGAAGGTGTTCCGGGCGGCCGACCCGCTGGTGGGCGTGTTCCTGTGGGGCGTAGCCCACTCGGTGAGACCCGGCACTAGCCCCCCCAGAAGCCCTGTCCGAACCCCGCTGCTCTGGCTCCTCTGGGCGTCCCTGTTTCCAGGCTTCCGCCTCCGGAGCCCCTCGCGCGGCCACTTCCCCCCGCGGCTGTCCTGGTCCCTGCCCACCAAACCTCAGGTGTTCCCCGGCGTATCTTCTCGCCCTAGACGTTGTTGTTGTTTCGTTTTTGAAATGTAGACTTTGTTTCCCCCTCTGCCCTCTATTCCACCACTCTAGTTCCGCCTTCTCCACCTGAAATCCAGCTCGCTGCCTCCTTCCTGCCAGGTCCAGCCTCAGCCGCAGGCCACAGAGACCGGCTGGGACCCGGCTTCAGCTGGAAGGACATTAGGGGGAGGTGTGGCTGTTCAGGGTGGGGTGGTGGTGAGGTGTCCGGTGAGAGTTTGTGTGTGGAAGGGGAGCAGGGAAGGTAGCTAAATGAGGGGGATAGTTCACTTTCCTTTCTAGCTGCTGTCCTTGATTTTGGAACCTTGGCTTTGGGGAAAAGCTCCAGGCTTTCCTGGACTTTCTAATCCTGCTTGTCTCTTCCTTTCCCTTCCAGAGGTACAGCATTTCAGAGAAGCTACCCACCCTGAGCCCCATTAAGCCTTATGTATGGTATAAGCCTTTGCTCTTAACTGCATCCCCATTGCTGGCTGGAGTGATGGTGTTTGGTGTAAGTGGGGGGCTCGTCTTTGACCAAAGAGATGGCGCTGCCGCTCTGGTCCTGGGGACACTATGATGGTTAACTTTAGAAACAGGTAGAGGGGTATGGCCTGGGAATCAGGAGGAGGCCAAAGAGGCCAGTGCATCTATTTTCCTTCACTCAGGTGAAGGAAGCACAGCTATTGCTCCTCCTTCCTCAGATTTGGAGTGGGAGGGATGTAGTGATCTTGGCTGTAACAGGCAATATTTTATAAATCAATTTCCTCAAGTCGTTATAGTCACAGCAGGGTTGTAGAGATGGACGAGGGTGAGGAAGAATACAATTTTTTGTCCCCTTCTTAATTTGTGGTTTAGAATGTCGTTGGGTGTCTGTATTTGTATTTGTGGTTCTGTGGACCGCTCCCAGAGTATCTATGCTAAGGCACTTGGTATGGGCAAAGCTGATGGAGGTAGAGCTGCCTCTCATGTGTACTTTCCAGGTGACCCATCCATCCCTTTGGGAAGCTGAACAGGGAGGATTTTTCTTTGGTAAGGGTTGAGGGAGTTACACATGAGAGCTGCCTCAGCTTCCCTAGGTATATATACTTCAGCTCCAACACCCCACTGTGCAGCCAACCCACATTTACTTCAAGTGTCTAAAATGGAGAATTCCTTGAACATATGTCTTAGTGATGATTCAGCCTGCTTGACAGCAGGTGGTGAGGAGGGGGCATGAAGAACTATAGCTGAATTTTAGGCTGGGAATCTCAAGTGGCTTTTTTTTTTTCCTGGAAGAATATGTTCTGTCCTCCTTTTGTACTGAGAATGAGAGGAGCACGGTTTCACTGCAATCTGTGGGATTTAGGTTAGACTGCACTTCATAACCTCTGTTGAATGATCAAATAAAGGTAGGCAAGACACCCATTTATTCAGTTAAGAAACACCTCAGGACCCCTTGTGCCAAACATTATGCTAGCTAGGCACCTGAGAGACACAGACAGCTACAACTGGTCCTTGCCCTCGAAAAGCTCACAGTGTAGGTGGGGAACTTATATAAACTACCCATTAGAGTCGTATGTTAAGTGCGCTATTAAAGGTGGGTGAGGGCGCCTGGGTGGCTCAGTTGGTTAAGCGACTGCCTTCAGCTCAGGTCATGATCCTGGAGTCCCGGGACTGAGTCCCGCATCGGGCTTCCTGCTCGGCAGGGAGTCTGCTTCTCCCTCTGACCCTCCTCCCTCTCATGCTCTCTGTCTCTCATTCTCTCTGTCTCAAATAAATAAATAAAATCTTTAATAAATAAATAAATAAATAAAGGTGGGTGAGCAGTACTGTGACAACACTGGGGAGAAAACACATCTCCTGGGATTTCTTCGTACAGGAACTCCCTTTCCACCCAGAATTAGCAGATGGCTGATTCTGGGGGCCAAGGAGAGCTTGTGTTGCTTGCAACCTTTGGGCCGTGGGTTGGCTTGACTTTAGGAACAGACAGCTAATGAGCTCATACCCTCTGCCTGCCTGCATGCATTCCCTCTGAAATCAGCTGCTCTTCTTTTACTTTATATCCAGGCAGGGGGGATCTACTAGAGAGACCTGGGTCAGACGGTGGTTTGGAAGGCCTGGTCCTGTTTGTAAGGACATGCCTCCTGCAGGATGTGGACATCTCATTCTTGTTGCTGTGGACTCCTCAGAGTCCCATTAACTCTCTTGTCTACTTCAGAAAAAAAAAAAAAAATGCCTTTTGTTTTGTTTTTAATGGAGCATAGAACTGTTTGTCTTGAGTGTTTTGAGTCTGCTGAGGGTATTTTTTTTCTTTAGAACTTCTCACAGCTTTAAAAATAACCCTGAGCTGCTCACAGAGTTTGCCTAATATAAAATGACTGGTGCGAGCATGCAGTTCCCTGGGGGTGGAGTGTGAGGGGCTGTGTGTGGGGGCTGCTTACTGCAGTCCTTGTTGGGAGCGGAAGAGGTTGGATGCTTTCTCTCACCTCTGGCAAGTAGATGCATAACCAGTGTTCTTAAAGGAACGAGGTTTGAGTTGCCCTTTTCTGACTCTTGCCCAGACACAGTGTAGAAGTAGCTCTCCACACCACTCCTCACTGGCTCCCTGTTCTTGTTTTGGCTTATCAGATCAATGAGCTCAGCCAGGTGCCTCCCCCCGTGATGCTGCTGCCAGACGACTTTAAGGCTAGCTCCAAGATCAAGGTCAACAATCACCTTTTCCACAGGTATGTGGAGATCCCTGCTCTTCTCCTGTCAACCTTCCTAGAAGAAAATAATACATAATTTTAAGAGTTAAGATTCAGTGAATTGAAGGTTTTAGATTTGGAAGGCAATTTACAAGCTCTGTGTTCTAACCCCCTTCCCAGTGCAGAAATTCAGTATCATGCAAAGAAACTATTAAAATAACTTCCAGTGTTCTCTATACCCTTATGTATTTGTAATAGTTTGTTTCTCATCTAGTCTGGCAATACCACAGACTAAATACATTTAGATGCCCTTACCATTAGCTTCTGATAGAGACTCTCTGAAAGAAATATCTGAGTTTCCTAGGTGCTTCTGGTATCAGAAGATGCCATTCCAAACAGTGGCACCTATTGCTGATTTTAGGATGTCTGGAACTTACGTGAGATTTGTGAAATGATGCTGTTTAAACAGGTATTAAATCCTGGTTCTACTTAAGCTACTTACCAGCTCTATGTTTGAAGCAGGTCACTCAACCACCCTGAGCCCCAGTCTCCCCTTCTATAAAATGGGAATAATATACATTTAAAGGACTTTACGAGAGTTTTATGAGAATCAAATAAGGTAAATGTGTGAAGGTGCTCTATAAATGGTCAAGCTCTATATAAATGTAAGGTTATACTGTTACTTTGTTTTCTTACCTTGAAACCCCTGTTTCAGGGAAAATCTGCCTAGTCATTTCAAGTTCAAGGAGTATTGCCCCCAGGTCTTCAGGAACCTCCGTGATCGATTTGGCATTGATGACCAAGATTACCTGGTGAGAGTTCTTTTTGGGTGAGAGGGGTCCTTTCTCCCTGACAACCAGGGAATCCTTGGGCCAGTCATGTTGGGAGAAATGGGAGCTTTGGCAAGTCTGATTCTTTATCTCTTTGTGGTCACGGGCATCTTCAAAAATCTGATGAAAGCCATTAACCCTGTCCTTGGGGAAACATGTAGCTACATTAAAATTTTTGCTTTCACTTTCATTCAGTCCAGATGAAGAATCCCTGCTCAGCCTTTTATGCAGGGGTTTTATCCACTTCCAGACACAGTCACTTGACCATTATCCTATGACTTGCATCTCCATACACAGAGGAAAAGAGCCTCTGGCCTGTGTTCCTAGGTATCCCTCACCCGAAGTCCCCCGAGTGAAAGTGAAGGCAGCGACGGTCGCTTCCTTATCTCCTACGATCGAACTCTGGTCATCAAAGAAGTATCCAGTGAGGACATTGCTGACATGCACAGCAACCTCTCCAACTACCACCAGGTCAGGCGGCTCTCCAGCTTCACTCTTGCCCTCTCCTCTCTATTCATAGCTTAGCTGCTAGAGTACGTGGAAACTTCCTATCTCTTCTCCTCCCTACAACCCATTTTGCTGCCCAAGAAGCACTTGACATCATGTTTTTGAAAACTAGGAATTTCAGAAAAAGCCTCTGCGTACCTCTTTGTGTCTGACCAAATAGGAGAAGTTAGACACGGTCCTTCTGTTTTGGTATTTACAATCTAGAACTGCTGTGGATTGATACATAAAGGCCACTTGTAGAGCAAAGTATGAACTATAGACTGAGCCAGAATTAGGTGAAGTGTTAACACCAAATACACTGTCAGGAACAAATGCAATTTTGAGGAGAAAATCAGGATAAGTGCATGGTTGGGGATGAACTGGAGGGGAGAAGCCATGATCATATCCAGTCCTAAGTGGGATTAGAGAGGCTATTCTGTCTGATCAGATTAACTTGGAATGTGGAGTTTCTGGAATATTTTGGTGAGAAAAACATGGCCTGAATATCTTCCTACTGAAAAAAATATCTCTCCAAGGTCAACAAGCAAGGAATAAATGAAAGACTCAAAAAGTGATTGGTTTATTCAACAAACACTGAATGTCCATTATCAGTAGGCCCTCCATTAGGCAGCAGAGAAAGAGGTGGGTGAGGAAGAGGCTCTGGAGGATCTCTTGGTCTAATGGCAGAGGGTAGGAGAGCAGCATTAGCACATAGTGGAGGGTGTGCAGTAACAGAGGCATGGATGGAGTGCTGTGGGGGTGCAGAGGAAGAGCACCCTAACTTACCTGGGGAAAGAGAGAGGCACACTGGGAGCTTCAAGGAGAGTTTTTTAGAGAGAGTATCATAGGAGTTGATGCTTGAAAGACTAGTATGGACTCCTTAGACAAGGTGGAAGAAAGCATTCTAGGCAAAGGAAAACTTGGAAAGGCCCAGAGCTGTGAGAGAGGTGTGTTATTTAGAAATAGCCCTGTGACTGCATTTTCGAGATTGGGCTGGACTATTGGGAGTGAAGAGTGAGCAGGTTGGAGGGAATGAGAACAGTCTCGGTGAGCAAGGACCAAGGCTGGAGAATGGAGAAGCCCTAGTGGCCGAGATGCAGAGGAAGACCTGTGGGAGACTTGTGCGAATTGAGGGCAAGGCGCCTCCAGATTCCTGCTTCGGGATAACTGGGTGTCCATTCACGAACATTTGGGAAGCAGAAAAAGAAACCAGTTTGGGGCAGAAGGCAGTTCTTTTTTTTTTTTTTTTTTTTTAAGATTTTATTTATTTATTTGACAGAGAGAGACACAGTGAGAGAGGGAACACAAGCAGGGGGAGTGGGAGAGGGAGAAGCAGGCTTCCCACGGAGCAGGGAGCCCGATGCAGGGCTCGATCCCAGGACGCTGGGATCATGACCTGAGCCGAAGGCAGACGCTTAATGACTGAGCCACCCAGGCACCCCGAATGTGGGGTTTCTACCATTCCTCCAGATATAGATGTCCCATAAGTGGTTGGGGAATCGAGTTCAGGCAAGTAGAAGTGTAGATTTGAGAGTCACAGGTGAATAGATGGTGATTAAAACCAGAAATATAGACTAGATTATTGATGGGAAGTGTGTGGAGAAGAAATAAAAAGAAGCAAGGAGAGGAGAGAGCCCATAAAGGAGACTGAGTTGCCGATGCCCTCCTTTGTTCTATGTGGGATTTGAGAAGAGAGGGGAGGAGAATTGGAAGAGTGGAATAGCGGGAGCTCAGGGTGCAGAGAGTTCTAGGGAGAGACTGGTCAGGAGTATCAAGTGCCCCCTAGTTGAAATACAACAATAACTGCAATGAATACCCATTGGATTTGGCAACTGAGGGATTTGAGGAAGGGAGAAGTAGATTTCAGAGGAAAAATAAGGATATGAATCTGATTTCACTGGTTTGAGGTATGAATGAGAGGAAGTGGATTGACCACTTTTCTGAGAAGGCTGGCTCTGAA